GTAAACGTAAAGATGTCGAAACAAGAGAGCAATCTGTCAGCCGTTGTCACTTTGTTGCGCGCCAGAGTATGCATGAAAGAAATAATTCGGTCGGTAAATGTGTCTGAAAGAACAGTGTATAATATTAAAAAAGGCTTGGGAAAGTGATAAGACGGAGCACCTGCTCATACTGCTAATAAAGCACAGAAATGGCTTACGGAAAATATTTCGTAAATTTGGGAGGAAGAAATTTGGCCCCAAGCAGTCCCGATATCAATCCGTTGGATTATTTTGTATAGGGCGTCGTCCAACGGGATACCAATAGAACCCCTCACACCACACTTAAGTCGCTAAAAGCTAAAATCAAGGCAGTGATGACATCTATGGATCGAAACATTTTAAAACGTGCATACTGCAGTTTCCGGAAGCGTCTAACTACAGTCGTCGGGGAAGGCAATTTTTTTGAATAAATTTACTTACAACTTCCATATGTTGCGAAAGAAACTAAATCGCACAACATTCATTGCTAGAATAACTAACTGGTGTATTTTTTCTCAAATATGCCATTTACTGCAAACATTCGTCACGCACCCTGTACAATCTCAAAAAGATATTCTCACAAATGTATTTCACGCAACCAGGAATCTGAAAACCATTAGACGCTATAATGATACTCTGCACATGTTAGACACAAGAAAGGGCCAAAAGGCAAGCTTCTGACACACAAAACCCGTCAAATCTACGTGCAGCCACAATCATCGATTCTACGAATCGCGAGCGCTCACGAATCATAAAAACGCTGACTGCGACACTCTGAAAGCGAAATTGACAGGCTTTATGCGTCAAACACCCGCCCTCCAATCTCCTTCCGCATCCAACAACACAAATCTCCATTACAACATCTAACGAATTCACAACTCCGAAAATCACTCATCTATAGCAAGTGAGTGGAAGCAACCCTGCATGCAAGCATTCTTCATGCTACACTTTTTCTGCCTATCTTTCTATTAGGCCTATGGACATGCGTTAGCTTCGAAACTTCTAACCAAACTAGGAAAATTTTCAGATAACAAAAAAAAACTTTAAAAAACTTTTAAAGCTGATTACAAGTAAAATAAATATTGATTATTTTACGCAAAAACAAGCAAGACATATTAAATCGATTGTATCGTATGCTAATACCAATTGACTGTAACAAAAATAATATGGTAAATAAATAATATATTAATAAAATTATATGCAAAATTTACTAGAAGAGATTTTTTTCAAAACTGACTTTTTTTCAAAAATTTAAAAAAATTAAAACTTTTGAACCATTGTAATTTGAAGATCAAAATATCAAATGAAAGGTTATAAAAAATACATTTATGGAAAAATATATTTATATATTAAAAAAAATTGGATTTTGTATTGAAAAACATTAATTGTATTTGTTTTTTTTTTATGGTTTTAATGGCTTGTAGACAGCGGGCACTGGACACTGTTCGGCACGTTAAGGAACACTGTTGAGCGATGAAGTTTTTCGAATCGATTTACCCGTTGCTACGGTTCGTTTGCTACCAGGTGAAAAAAAAAATCCGGTAATACAGGTGATGGAGAGTGAATAATCTACAGGTAATTGTTTATAGGAATCGGATCATCAGCCTTTCGCTCTGTTATCGATATAGTGAGGATTAAGAATTTGTTTACTTCGTTTTTCAAAGAACCGTCGATGAAAGCTTGAAATTGTAAACATACGATCTTAAAAGTCAAAACTGCAGGGTTTTCCAAACGCATAGGATACTGAGATTGAAACCTTGAATGCCACACTTCGGCACGTTCGGCACAACGCTTGGCACAGCTTTTGGCACAGAAAAAGTATTCGGCACAGATTGAGATGTGCAGAGTTGAACACTCCTTGGGGAATCTGTTTTTATATATTCTTTGAAAACTTATGCTTTTTTACACAACATTTCTAGAGGTTTTTTTTATCGTTTTTGAGTTCAATTTAATAAATTCTATCAATTTTTTACACAAAATTCTTTTGTTTTTATATTTTTGTATTTTTCCTAAATATTAATTTTTTATCTTTAATTTGGTATTCTGATCTTTGAAATCGGCTTAGTGGTTAAAAAGTTATGAATTTGTGAAAAAGACATTTTTGAAAAACATTGTTTTTACATTGCCGAGCAATAAAGGGTGATACGGTCAAAATTTGGTCAATATCAACTTGACGTATTTCTTTCAATTTTGCATTTAAAAAACCTGAACACCCCTCATTTTGAAGGTGTGTGTGTGTAGAATGTTGCTCCTATTTTGATTTTGGAATTCACTCTTCAGTTGTCAAAATGCCGTCCAAGCAAGAAGAGCAGCGTATCAAAATTTTGCTCGCGCATCGCGAAAATCCGAGCTACTCGCACGCAAAGTTAGCAAAATCGCTAAAAGTTGCCAAATCAACCGTTACAAATGTAATTAAAGTGTTTGGGGAACGTTTGTCGACAGCCAGGAAGTCTGGATCGGGGGGAAATCGAAAACCGGAAGCCGCTGAGACGACAAAGAGAGTTGCCGGTAGTTTCAAGCGAAACCCTAACCTCTCTCTCCGAGATGCCGCAAATAAGCTGGGTGTATCGTCTACAACCGTGCATCGAGCCAAAAAAACGAGCCGGACTATCGACTTACAAGAAGGTAGTGACTCCAAATCGCGATGATAAACAAAATACGACGGCCAAAGCGCGATCCCGGAGGCTGTACACGACGATGCTGACGAAGTTTGACTGCGTGGTAATGGACGACGAAACCTACGTCAAAGCCGACTACAAGCAGCTTCCGGCACAGGAGTTTTATACGGCAAAAGGAAGGGGAAAGGTAGCAGATGTTTTCAAGCACATGAAACTGTCAAAGTTCGCAAAGAAATATCTGGTTTGGCAAGCCATCTGTACCTGTGGCTTGAAAAGCAGCATTTTCATAGCTTCCGGGACTGTCAACCAAGAAATTTACGTGAAAGAGTGTTTGAATAAACGTCTGCTGCCTTTCCTGAAGAAACACGGTTGTTCCGTACTGTTTTGGCCGGATTTGGAATCTTGCCATTACGGTAAAAAGGCCATGGAGTGGTACGCCGCCAACAACGTGCAGGTGGTTCCCAAGGACAGGAACCCTCCCAACACGCCAGAGCTCCGCCCAATTGAGAAATACTGGGCTATTGTCAAGCGGAACCTAAAGAAGACCAAAAAAACTGCTAAGGGCGAGCAGCAGTTCAAGGCAAACTGGCTTTCTGCGGCGGAGAAGGTGGACAAGGTGGCTGTACAAAATCTGATGGCAGGGGTCAAGCGTAAGGCCCGGCAATTCGGATTTGGAAAAGCGGAAGCCTAACTGAATATTTTTCCTGAATTTTATACTAATTGAACTTGAAAAAGAAATTTAATTTGATTTTTAAAATAAACGATTTTACCGATTTACACGCGTTTTCCCTTGACCAAATTTTGACCGTATCACCCTTTACTACCACTTTTTGCTCGGGTACTTGCGAATATAAGCAAAGCCCACCAGCGAGTAAGCATTGCTTGGCTAATGTGATCAATCTTTGTTTACTAACCACAATATTACGCCAATTGAATAGAGTGGTTAGTATACAAACATTGACCATAGTATAGCCAAGCAATGCTTGCTCCCTGGTGGGCTTTGCTAATATTCGCAAATGCCCGAGCAAAAAGTGGTAGTGTTGCTCGGCAGTCAAATAGTCAAATAAAGGGGCAATGTGTGCATCGAATGAATAATGATTTCCACCCAATGCAGCACCTTTCAAATGAAGTCTGACTTCAAGACCAGAAATAACAAAAACAATAGAACAGGAAGGAGCTGCTCATGTCAGTTTGCTTTCAGGGCTTTCAGCTGTGGACAAAGCAGCAATTGTTACTCTCGGTGTCGATCGCACTATAGGCAGATAAACATTTCAAAAGGTCCTATCTGCATTCCTCGATTCTCTTCATCGACTTTCTCTTTCGTTAATGACTCAGCTGTATAACCTTTCCCTGTTGCATATGACGTTTTGGACGCAAGATAAGATCTTCCTTTATCAAAACATGTGGTAAAATGAACGCAAAACCTGTTTGCATAGCAGTGGTTATCAAAAGAGAAAGTCGATGAAAAGAATAGATCAAAGCAGATAGGACCTTTTGAATTGTTCATCGAGATATCATCTTTATGCAGTCCTGCTAAATTTTCAAATCATTCGATCGATGATATACTGTATCACTGGAAGCTCATCTTCTGCAAATTGACTTTCATTCGCTTTCTATTGATATAAACTTATGACAGAAGATTGTGGAGTAAAACCTAGACTGGATGCTGGATCAGTGTCAAGTCAATTTCCAGCCCTGATCGACTCGATATCGGGTTTGTGACGTCAATCAACACAACAGATTTAAATCATCCATTCGAATGAGATCCCTTTGACAGTTGCTTTTCTCAATTTCTTCAAATATTGTCAATACCTAATTTGAGGTTTACCAGCACTGGAAGCTAATAAAATCCATTAGTTTGTTAAAATTTTCCATGTCTTATTTTCACCTCACAAGTTTTACGGTGTTCTCGGCCTTGCAAAGTTAAGTGTCCTACACTGAACAGCGTATAAACCCAGACAACCACTCATTAGCAGACACGCAACTCTTTGACCATGCTGACAACGACGACGACGACACAGCCAACGTGTCCGATAACATGGTACGGTACAACCCGCAAACGTGTAAACGAACAAAAGGTAAGCCTGTGGACAAGATCCGGCGTCTACTTCTGGAAGTGCTTGCGGTTGACCATCCATACAAATATGCGCAACAGCCAGCAGCCCGGAGGCCATTCACAATGTGTTGTAAATCACTCTCTTTAGAGTCCCTCCGACACCCTTCCGGATCCGCCGATGATGTCTTAAATTTGTGCATGCACGTTGACTGTCACCGTCGTTTTCCTTGGTAGGATTCCTGCTTGGACTTGTGGAACAATCTACCCCCAACACACACACCACACAAGAATAGAGCTGCTGCACTTACCTGTTGTGTTGTTTATCTCGAAATGGCTGTTATCTGTCATCCGGTACTCGGCGACGGTCGAGTCTGCATCTGTTGCTTGCATCGTCGTCAGGATGGTTCCGATCGGTTGTTCCTCCAGCACCTGGAATCGGTAATGGGGCTCTTCCGGTGTCCACGGAGGCACGAAGAGCTGCAACGAGAGAAGGACAGCAATATTGTTGGGGTTAGATTATATTATAAATTTTGGTGGCGCTCGAGAAGGCTACTGGAGAATGGATCGGTGGCGTCACCTCACTGACAGCAATAAACATTGAATAATGGGCCTGCCCCCCCCCCCCTCTGATGAAAAGTCGACTTTCTCGGGGTAGGTGAAATTCGAGAATATGGGTAGAAAGATTGCATAAATCACGAAACAGGCAGGACTATCATTGTTATCCTGGTCGCCACCGCCGTCGTCCTTTTGCCAGCCAACACGTTTTGCCATTGAAGAAAATCTTTTCCGTAAAAGCATTTTGTAATCTGTGTTCGGTGCATCGTCGTGTCTCGGCTAGACGAGCTTCACAATGGATGAAGTGAGTGGGCGCGGTCCATGCCGAGAGTGAGTCTAGTCTTTCGGTCTGGCGAGAATACAACAAAGGTATGCACGAACAACAGAAGTACACCAGAGGCCATTAGAAGAAATCCGGAACACGGAGGATGTTCTCGTCCTTTTTAGCAATTCATCATCAATACTTTAAAGCGTTCACACTGAACAGAGAAATTTATGGGTTCTTTTTCTGAGTGGTGAATTGGCTCAACTGATAGCTGGAATTAATTTCATCTTCGTTGGCAAGCGAATTTGTTCTAGTATTTTAGGCAAACATTTCACAATGTTCAATTTTTCATACTGTGTACGCTGCCTGGTGCGAGGAAGAGTGGAATACCTTCCGGGCAGATTTGGATGGTCAGATTACAGTCCCCGTCTCTTGTCGTCCGCTTGCCCTTTGGGGCAAAAAAGAAAGTTCCGTTTCTGAGCACATAGTGCATACCCAAGTGGACTGCATGACATACGTGCTGAGGTGACGACGATTTCCAATGAGCCGGATGAAGACGACACGTTCCGGACGCTTTACATTCTCGGTGCAATAAATCATCCCTAGTGGGTACCGGCTTTAGGTTTGCTTCAGTTTTTGAGCTCCCAATAGTGGTGGTAGGGACTTTAACGTTTGTCTTCTCTTGTTGAAATTAATGCAACAAATTTCCTTCGGTGAGTGTTGATTAGTTGCTTCGGTTGTGAAAGATTTTCTGGCAAAATACGGGCATTCCACAATTTTAATTAAGTTAATGCTAGCGTGTTAATCAAATGGAAGTGCAGGCAAAATAAATACGAAATTTTAGGTTATGATGAACATCAACTTCATTTTATTTGAATTTAAAATTAAGCATTTGATAGTGTGACAAATTTAGTAATTGCTCGAGAAAACTCAAAGCTAAAACATTGAATGACTCACTCATTAGAATCATATATAAAATATGCCTGGTCAGTGAAATAGGTGTGTTGCGTACAACCACATAACATATGTCGAACTCGATCTTCAGTGATTTCAAGAGGTACATAAGGACATCGATCTGTCAAATTGATTATACTAGCTGTAAAATGGGAAGGGCAATCAAGGGGTTAGTCAATTATTTTAAAATAATTCTAACGTGGTTTATAATTCTATGTGTTCTTAGCACTCCTGAACTCATGTCTTACTATTTCTTTAACCATTTGTGTCCTTTATTTATAATTATATAGCAAGCTTTAACAAATTCATCGCCTTGCTTCACACAGCAAACTGTGGTAAACTTAGAATAAAAATGTACGTAATTTTTTCTTCTTTGGACATTTTTTAATTTCTTGGAACCAATTGCATCAAACTTGGATTTCATTTGGTTTCGTAGGAGGAAAAATACGGCACAAATTCCAACACAAAGAGCTACTCAAATTACTTTCTAACAAAAACCGTGGTAAGGTTGATCCTGGTTGATCGAAACGGCAAGCGGCAAGACACTTTTTTCAACCACTATGGCTAAGGTCTTAGGGGGGGACTCACAGCTAGATGTATCAAAGTTAAGCACTATTTACAAACGAAAATAATCGTTTGGTTCCATTGGAAGTTGTTTCGTTTGTGTTTTTTTTTTTAGAAAAAAAAATGCCTTTTTTAATGTAAACGTTAATATGCACCAACAGGTGTTTCGTGATGTAATCATAAGTTGACTCACTAAAAGCACAGTTAACAATATTTCAACATACTGCAGACAAAATAGTAGCTTTACATCCATTCAACGTAATCATCAAATCTTCGAGTAATTTGCATTAAATTCCATTAGATCATAGAGCCGAAGAAATATTACATCTGTAAATAGGCAATACTGATTAACAACGCTCTGTATTGACTTCTGACTGACTGAAAATACTAGTTAAAACATCCTTCGAAAAGCCCCCTGTCGTCTGTCGAGCTAGTCGAAAAAAGAATGCCCATACGTCAAACTCCGTCAAGCATTTAAACAGCAGAGAAACAAAGGAAACGACACATTATCTGGGCCTCAATTGTTTACATCTCATTGTACATTATCTTGACTATTGACAATTTGCCTTTTCGTTCACTCTGTAACTCCTAACTCCAATGATTAAAATCCCAAAAACAAATATCAGTATGTCCGTGAAACATGCCCTTTCACTCCTAGGAAAATCCCATAAGATTCTGTCAATCTTTGCGTGAAAAGACGTCGGCTGGCTGGTACCATGGTGACAAAGTCCGCTAGATTCCATGCACAGATTGTCTGAGGCTTATGGAAAAAATAAAGAGGAATAAAGAGTTGAAGAGTCGCCGTCAACGTCGTTGCTTACTGAACATACAACCATATAGGGGAAATGGTTCTTATGTTGGCCTATTGGTCTAAGATTGGGCTCATCGCTAAAAATCTGTTTTAGCGAATTTTAGATGGTCGGAGTGTAAAAACAGGTAAGAACGGAAAGTACTAATTTCAAATATTCTTAAGCTCATCCGAGAGGGATCCCAAGAAAGCTAATTGAGACATGCGTTTTGCATTGAACCGATATCGATTCTGTGTGGTCTAACCAGTTTTGAAGAATAGCCTCTCTGACGAAACACTTGTTACCATGCTTGATAAATAGTCTCGAGCAATGGGGTTTACATGATGATATAAACTACGGATTTTCTTCCATCATCGAAAAAGATCGACAGAACGTGGGAAAACAGGCTGATGCAATAAATTTTGAAATTCTGCCGATATGCCCCCATGGCGATTCAGTTCTGAACCTGAAATATGTCATAATAAGTGAATGTTTGTACATATGTAGATTACTAACTTTCTTTAACATTTCGTCATGAATATCCCATTGGCATCCGGTTGGTTTTGGTGGGAGACAGATGTGTGCAATCATCGTATTCTCTTTCGGTACTATAGATCTGCTCAGACACAATTTTAACTGCCCGAGCTTGAACTGAAGACTCATTTTTATTTATAGATCGAAAAAAAAAAGCGAATGAAAAGGATCGATCCAGTCGATTTTTGTCGTGTTTGAGATCGATTCAAAAAATCGATTAATCGAACCAAAAGAATCAATGTTTTGTGTTTCGATCCAAGATCGCCCATTGCTGGTCTCGACCCGTATGCTGCTGGACAGGGGTTGAACGGCGACAGGTTGGAAGGCCGCATAATATGATTGTCCACCCAGCTAAAGCTCCTCCCCTTTTTAGTTTTTTTCGTTAAACACCTTCCGTTAACAAGTTGGTAAATCTTAGCCTTTATCAGAAAGACTCTTAACACACGAATTTATGATCTTGTTTCACGTCATGGTTCTTCTATATGTCTGTTGAGATAAATTATTACTGTTATTTATTTTCGTCGATTTCCGTCGATCTTGTTTTCCGAGCTGAGCACCAATGCTACCGACGCCAGGCTTCCACACCTGCACCCTACCTATCGACCCATCAACTCATGAATCAGGGACCTTTTGAAGGAAGCCGTGATCAGAGATGTTATGCCTCAGAACATCCCAGCGGCGCCGACTGAGATTGAACCCAGGCCTGCTGGGGTGAGAGATAATCACGCTTACCACTACACCACCGGCGTCGCTCGTGCTCGAATAATTGATCGATTAGTATTTAATCGAATACTGGAAAAATCTTTACGATTAATCGTCAATCGAATAATTTGACTTTAGACATCCCATTTTTTTTGGTGGAAAAGCGGTGCGATGCTAGTTTTCATTGCTATAACGTCGGCATAGAAGCCGGAAGGGGAAAGTCAATTATCTTCATCGGTTTACTCTTTTGATGACCATGGCTTCACTAACCTATTTCGCACAATGTATGCTATGCTCCTCTATCATCCAGAACAACAAACGTACCAATGAATGTGTTTGCAGTCGAGTTATTAACGAAACAGAAAGTCGATGAAGAGAATCGATCAAAATCACTTGTACCCCTGCTTCAAAGTTTGGTTACAAGATTACAACTCTGGAGAGCATTTTGTGGGGTTGTTGGGGGCGTGTGGTTCTGAATATGGCGAGTGTGCAAAATGCGACGCAATTGTATACTCCCTATTCGCACACGCCCGAAGATCAGAGGCGAATGCCACTTCGACTTGTTTCGTCTACTAACGACTCTCAGATGACAGTGTTGGGGAAGCAGCATATGCATGTACGTAATTGGTGGATTGTTTAGTTATTTCGACGCTTTTGGACAATGCTTGAGATTTACCACTTTTCAATAGTTTCTTGTTGAATATCAACAGTTGTTGAATATCAAGAGCAATGGTATCGATGCTTAAAAATATTTCTGATCGATTGGTGATAAAATTATTGAAATTGGTCCAGGGGCAGCTAAGTTATTAACGTTAAAAATCTTCCATAATTTCGTTACATGTTCCATTTTGCGACTTTCACAAAGTGTACCCCCATTTATAAATTACAGGCGTAGTCCTACATCAAAAAATGAATTAGTCATAATTTACGCGTGTGCTTCGATACATTTGAAGGTCATACATTGTAATTAGGGGATGTTCATAAAGTAAGTAAGCAGTTTACTGCCCATAAAAGCATAACAGTCCCATATGGATTGTTTTCAGAAATGAGCTATCAATTAGAATCGACTGTTAACTACCGATATTTTACATTGTGCACTAAAAGTTACATGTTTT